TGACAGCTGATGAGCTTAAGTTCAATTAAGACACAGCTCAAAAAACTGTTGTAGAATATCTTAAAAAAAGAAAACCTTTTTCTCATTTTCACCCTCACACCCATGTCATTAAGAACAGAAAAAAGATCGAATATCTGCATGACATAATTTGATCTAAATAGCAGACATTAATCTTGACGTTTTGAAAACAAATTGCGACTGAAAATGAAACCTTACACTTTGCATATGATCTGGATATAACGCGGCAATCATATGTTTTTTTTCCTTGGAGGGAGGGAATTCTTGACTGGATAATTCTCAACTGGAACTGGAAAATTCATAAGAAATTTGTTGTTTAAGGAAAGTTCATGAAGTATAAAAGTATTTCATAAAAACGTAATGGATTGATTTCTGAAGAGACCTTAAAGCGTTAAACCTGAAAAGCTGGACCGAGTAACCGTGTTCTGCTGCACCGCCATACAGTTTCATTCTCGTTAATCAATTTCCAGCAAAGAAAAGTTTCACATTTTTCAATCACCACCACCATTCATCAAATTGGCACTTCAAGACATCTGAAGATTAGTACACCAAACATCTGAGGACTAAAGTCTCACCTCAAAGTCATTATTTTAAGAGCGCTGAAGGGATTCCAAAAAACGCTATCATTGAAAAATAAAAATATTATTGAAGCCGTCGATTTTGCAAGAACTGAATTCTAAAACTTTCTAGACAGACATATTATGTATTAGAATGAAGCCATTGTATTTAAACATTGTATATTTTGCGAGTTTTGTCATAATTCGCCTAAAACGTTAAAGTGAAACAGCGCCGGATTTCTGCAAGGTTCTGTAGGCACATCTATATGCCTCCCATTTTAAGGAAACTTTCAAAACCTCTTCACTATTTAAAATGCTTAAAATGTTATGAATGTTTTCAAATTTGGGTTTAAAAAATACAAAATTAGTAGCAGAAATAAAATGATTAATTTCTCAATTCAATTACTGTACTCTTTTCCTTAAAAAGCAGACAGCAGGGCTTTGTCTCGCACTCTTGTTGGCTATTATTTAATAAGCCTCAACTGAAAAGAATACATATTATATTTGTATTATAAAGACCGGAGTATCGTTCCATCAATTGATAAGATAAAAAAAAATTGAGAGTATTTCACATAAACTAATATAATCTAAAATAAAAGGAAATTGTTACAAGGGGTGACAAGGAAATTTAACTTTATTAAATTTCCTTTTTAATTGAGTTTTTCTACCAGATTTTTCAACTTACTAAAGATTAGTTGAATACTTTATTTGAATTAATGATTATTTAATTACTGAGAAATAAAATTAAAAGAAGTAACTGCAATCTTTTTCATTTAAAATTATAAATTATTAAATTACGATTTATAATAAGAACGAGATGTTAAGATTGTTTAAGCAATTCCAATATTAATTTTTAATTATGGTTAGGATATTAATTAATGGGACATTAAGTAGGATGATTCGGACATTGATTTAAGATGATTAGGACATTGGTTGACCCCTCAGAAGTTATTATTTCTTTCATATAAAAGAAATTGAATATTGTAATTTCACATTTTACTCATATACTTGATCATTCAAATCATAAGTAGTTTATTTGCATTAATTTTATCATAGCTATGTAACTTAATTAAAGTTTGTTGTAAAATTAATAAGAATTCTGTAGGCTATTTTTTTCCGCAAGCTTTGTTTAGTACATAAATCATTTTCCTCCAATTCTAGTCTTATTTCTTATATTGACGACTGCAATGGATCGCAGATCTTATTGAAAACGTTTTCGATTCTGATCAAACTTAAAGGGACCTGAGTTTTAAAGAATTCTTCCTACCTCATCCATAAACGGTAATGAAACCAATAAAATAAGCATACGTAGAACAACAAAGGAGAATTGAATTAAATAGGAATAAAAACAGTGAAGAAATAATACCTCATAAGACAAAAGCAATATAAAATACGTAACCAAGGTAACGAAGAATATACTAAACATGAAGAAATGATGCAAAACTGAATTTGTGGTAGTTCAAAAAGATAAAAATCAAACAATTTCAGAATAAACACAGTAAAAATGAAACCCAAATTAACTTCAAGAAAATAATCATAAAACACAAGAGTATACTGTAATTATTAGTTGTAATTTACGAATATATATACCATTAAATAATATAGTATATGCAGCGTTTCATGTCCTGTTCTTGCATTTAACAAAAACTGTTTCAAAATGAAAACGTTTCCAAAGATACTTTTTTTATCAAATATTTTCATATCAAATATACTGTAAAGTATATAACCAATACACAAGTAAAATCATACTGAACAAAAGAAATTGCGTAAATAGCAGAACCAATGAAAATTGAAATAATCCAAAGAAAATAAAATAAGTATTGGTACTGATTTTGTTTTTTAATTCATTCAGAGCAAAGGAATCCTCGTGCAACATATAGGTACATATAATAACCTAATGTATTTTCAGAATACACTAAGTGAGAGAGTGTTTTAAAAATCCGCGCCGCTCAAAAGTTTTTTAGAATAGGAATATACATGCGGAAAAAAGGGTAATTAGCTAAAGGAAACATTCTCCAAAATGTTTCACTCTTAAAAATAACAATATCTTATTTTAATTCTCTGTGTAAGTTTCATAAAGAAATGTTCGTTCAGATTATGGATAATGGAGTGCTACGAAGTGCGTAAGTAGTAATGCACATTTCTAGATGGATTGTAAAAATTGGGATGAGGATAATTTTGTTTTTAAAGTAAAATTTATAGACTTCATGTTGCTTCATAACTTTATTTTGACAAAAAGAGCAATAGGTCCACCAAAAGTAACAGTAATGACATTTCTAGTTATGATCTCGAGACACATTACTCTGCTAATATTTAAACTTTTTAAATTAAAAACTAAATTTAGAATTAAAAAATACTATCATTTTATGTAAGTATAAATTTGTTTTTAAATGTTGAAAATTAAAATGTGTCAAAAATACAATATATATATTTCTTAAATCTTAACGAATTTTTAGTTAGGACCTATTAAGACTTGCTGTATTATAGGAAATAAAAGAAAGTTTTTTACTTGAAAAACGCTGGAATACATATGTAACTGTGTACTTCTGTGCTGCTAAGTTACAGCTTGATCTAGATGTGTCTCTTCTTATCTTAATCGTGGTCACTAGATGTAAGTTATTGCCATTGTTGATCTCGCATCTTTTATGAGTTAATGAAAACACATTATACCCCATAATTAGTGTAAAGATTTAATTAGTAACTATTTTCTTATATTGTATTTTCCCTACTTTTTAGGACTGTACAAGTCAACTCTTGGAGGTTTTACAATAAAAAGGTTTACCACCAGCAAAAGACCAAAATTATGTGATGCAACAAGCATATTGAAATTTCTTGAACATTCGTAATGCGCCTAGTACTGTCAATCCGCCGAATAGTTTAGCAATTTTCAGGGACAAACAGTCTTTCTTTTTAGAAAAGTGTTTCGACACCCAATAATTTTCCGATTTTAGAATTTTAACTGTTCATTGCGATCACAGGCGGCAGGTTTTTTTTCCTTTGGTGCAATTTAAGACGAAAGGTATGTGATAAAATAATCCAAAAAACTAGACAACAGCTTAAAACCAATATTTGACAGACAACCTATAACTTCTTTTTGATATTTGCCGAAGTTATAGCAGAATCTTCTATATAGCGAAGATCTATTTACTTCTTGACATGGAATTCCTCACAAACTAAAATAAATTTTGCTCACTAATTTCATCGTTTCTCACAAGATGAAAAAAAAAAAAAAAAAAACAATGCCGTGTAACTTTTATACTGTGCCGACATAATTCAAAGTATGAGTGGTACATGAAATGAACCAAGACCGCTTTACAGTCAAGCGATCTTTGAAAGAAAAAATATTTTTTGCGTTAGTGTTATCATTTTTCAAATGTTTACACATAAGTAAAAGAAAGATCTAATTTAAGAAATTTTATTGGAAGAAATAAATGAGGCAACTCGAAAATGTTGTTGCAAAGTATACAAGTATGCTCAAATTTCTTTGACATATAAATGGAAAATTTAAGTACGACCGTAGTTTGTTGCCGTACAGATTTCAAAGCGGTATTCTGTTTTCATCTACGTACATCGTGTCATGCCTGATGTGAATGTAACAAATCAAAATATAATGACTATTGCAAAAAATGGTGGTTGTTTTTTCCGTGAATCAAAACTGTGTTCAAATTCTGCGTACCATACAATACGTACTGCCCTTTTTGGAAAATGCATGAAAGCTGGCTGTTCAAGGGCAGAAGAGTTGCTTTGCAGTGTGTTTTATGATGGCAATTTTATTGAAAATATTGTAATATTCTAAGCTGAAAAGTTAAACTTGCAGTTTTAGTGATAATACATTTTCTTTTAAACAAAGTACAATTCTGTCTTATTTCTTCTTGATGAACTGGCGCTTTGTTTTGCTTTTGCCTCGTATGCTAGACTTTAGTGGACCTCGTCTTAAATTTTCTTAGTTAACTGTATACTTATTTCCAAATATTAATGAAAATTTGAACAAAAGGAAGTAATTAACAGTGAAATCAGGTTTAACCTTATACGATAAGGGATCGAAACATAAAAAAATATAAACAGCAAATGAAATAAAGAGCACAAAGCTAATCAAGGAAAAAACCAAAGATCTTCTGAAGAAAGAAACCATAGAACAGGAGGCAAGAGCAGCAGCCATAACATTTGAAAACTTCTTTCAAATGTTTTTTTAAAAAACAACAGAAACAAGGCAATTAAAAACAAATTAAAATGCTGTGAAAATATAATTAAAAACCTTAAAAAGGGACAAATTGTTCAACGAATCATCGACCCCCTGTAGGAGCAGGAGGAAGGAAGAGGAGAAGAAGCAAAAACCAATAATTTTTTGGCCCGACCAGAAGAGGTTCTTGGAAGAAGAAGATGATGAATGCCGTTTATGGATGGAGGATGGCGTGGCCCTCGTACCTGGACGGAACGGCAGGAGTCACAGGTATGTACCTGAAGCGGTTGGCGGGGTGGTGGATGGGCCCCGGGAACCTGCGCTGAGGGGACAAGTAGGCAGCCAAGGGCGCCAGCGCTTTAACGTTGTTGCTCGGGTTGTTGGCAAACTTGACAGTGATGGGATCCGTGGCGCCCTCCGGGATTGTGTTGTTGAGATGTTTGATGGCCCGTTCCGCTTCCATCCTCTGGTCGAAGCGGACGAAGCCCACACCTTTTGAGAGACCTGAAGAAAAAATAAACATTCTGAGATAAAACAACTTAGCAGACAGCTCAAAGAAATAATTTTGTGAATTGTACTTAAAGATATGTATTTGCAAGTCAGAGTGAGATAAAATTTAAGGTGTAAATATTTCAAATATAAGTTGTAAAGAAAGTAATGACGGTTTTATTTTTTCCATAGTTTGAACACCCTCTATGCCCTATCAGTCGATGTTTGAAGATGTAAAAGTATATGTGTTATTAATTTGATTATAAATTTTTATTTGAATAGCATGATTATAAATTTTCAAAATGAATGACATTGCTTCTGTTCATGCTTCGAAGAGAAGCTTCGAACTCGAATAGAAGCAATGTACGTGAAATATTGCTTATATTTCAGTTTCGACATGCCAATACTGCTAGAATTATCAAAGGTGTTTACGGAGACATCTTCAGTGAGAAACTAGCTTACTCAGGTGCTTCAGGTCTGGTAATTATGACTTCAATGACCTTCCAAAATAGGATAGAACAGTACAAGTGAATAATGGTCAGTTGGCAGCTATAAATAAATTTAATCTCATAATGCCCAGTCTTGTGATAGCCATCATGCTAGAAATGCTACATAAAAATCCTTTTAAGATATAACAAATCATTTCCATACTCTCGAAAAGATAAATAGAAAAGAAATCTGGGATCTTATCAACTTTCAGCCCAGCAGTCAATTCTAGAGCTCCATCACTGGCCTTTTCCTTTTCATACGGAAAAGTCCTTTTTTGAACTAAATTATTACAGGGGCTGAAAAATGAATTCTTTACATCCAGGTACAATTCAAAATGCAAGGGATGAATCCTGGCCAAAGACCACTTCCAAAAGCTGAACTTAAGTCTTCATTTGAAGAAAGTCCAGTTTTGAGCGTTGTGGAAGAAGAAGTGAATTATCTACTTTGAGCTCATGGAAATGTCAAGACATCAAGTTTAAAGCAAATGCTGCCATAATCTCGAACGGCTGCATCAAGCTTTGTTCAGCAAATGCCAAACACTGGTCAATACAGCAGACAGGTGACACGAAACAAAACGTCCAAGAGTTCAATCGGGAAATCTTTTCTCAGCTATCATACTTATCGAACATCGTCCCATCACACTACTATCTGCTTTATTCTCTGCATCACTTTCTATCAAACAGACTATCAGTTTTTCGGATTCAAGAAATGGAGTCTTAAAAGAATGGGATTATGAAATTGCCCAAAAACTGGGAGAATACAGTAGAAAATAATTGGCAATATATCATTGACTAACGAAACTTTATTGTAAAAAAAACTTTTCTTCATTCATTTAAAATTCGATCACAACATTCTTTAGAATGAATGTTTTTTTTTTGGTACCGTATATGCATATTAACGAAATATAGATAAATTCGGTTGACGATTTAGATAATAGATGCAATTTATTACTTAAGTAACTCAGACTTGCTTCCTAATTTAATACATCTTTTAAATCAACTTTATACGGAAAGTTGGTGCTATCCAATGCAAAGCTACTATGTGATAAAAAACGATAAAGAATTTGTATAACTATATAGATACAGACCATGAAAACCTAGAAAGACATTCATGTGGAGTGAATTGCAGGGAAACATGATGATACGAAGTAAAAGAATAGGTAAGTTTGCATTAACAATGGCTAGAGAATAATTCAAATAGCTTCATGCAAAGAGAAACAAAACTACGCAGGGCTTTTCTACAGTATATTAGATGTGTCTTAAAACATATAACCTCTCCAGCCGATGTAAAATCACAAATTTCACAGAGATTATAACGGTTCCTTATTATTACAGCCCCCGTTGTTTAAACGGCACCAAGTTTTAATTAAGATCTTACATAACAAACACGTTTCCATCTCGCATATTGTTAAGTGGCAGCCATATTTATACGCTGCTGTTAATATAGCACCAGAAACATTGGCTTGTTCCTAAGACATCCGCCATGCAAGCTTAAACTTGTAACTTGTTATCCTCCTTATTAATGGACTTTTCCAAAACGGCAGTCTTACTCACAGTTCTTGTGATGGAAGGATGCTGATGGTCAGGCTGATGGTCAGGCTTGCCAGTCTTATTCAGAGTTCTTCTCGTGATGGAAGGACTATAACTGCTCATTCTCAGGCTTGCCGGCCGTTTGGCAATAGTTTGCTACACACTTTATAGCCGTTCAAATAACGGGGACGATAATATTAACCCTTTCAGTCTCAACTTATTGGTTTGTTTCAAATGACTTGAGTTTTTATGCACTCTTGGTAATTATCACAAAGAATTGAAAAATATCATTTTAAATATTTTATTTTAAAATGAGGGGATTCCAAGGGCCTGGTACAAATATGTCCCACTGGGTGGCAATGGTGGGACATATATGTCCCATCAGTACTAAATTGTTGGCACAAAAAGAAAAAAAAATCAAAAGAAACTATTTTTATTTTTATAACTAATGTGTGATAAGAAGTAAAACAGTTTTTGCATAGTGGTAGTTTGCATGTCACACAAATTGTTTTAGTGCTTTTCTGTTGCTTTTTTCTTGGTACAACTGTGAAACCTTCTTCTAGTGGGCCCTTCGATGGGTAAGTGATCTCCTATATTCCACAACTTGCAATTGGATGATGGTCTACTATATTGTAGTGGTATGGCACCATATTGTAGTGGTAGTGTATGGTGTACTATATAATTTTGTAGTGGGGATGTTAGATATGATGCTTACTGCCAGTGGGACATGAGTTACGTAGTAAATTGATGCGGTTCTAGGCTTCTTTAAACATATACTGGGACTTATGTAACCCATTGGGGCTGAAAAGGTTAAGGAAGTACTAAGACTAGTCAAATACAGACAGGTAACCCATTCGAGGAAAGTCACAATACAGATTGCCGCCAGAGTTGGGCTTTGCCCTGTCGTTAGTATAATTACTAAGTCCATGGATGTAATTTATATCCTACACCACCACGTAGATCTGAAAAATTTGGTGTGGCAATAAGAGAATTTGTGGAAACTTAAGAAGATCGTGTGAATACTTAGATAATATTAAGTCTGTAACTGGATAGGAAACAAAATTGAAATAATAATACAGGTGCATATCTGGAGCTGAATCTATATCTAGATCTATATATCTCTTTTCTATATATTAATAAAACTATTACTATCAGGATTGGCGTTTTTCACGGCAGAATTTTTAATGTCCTTGCCGATGGCAGAAACTGGTAATAATCGGTTAAGTCTGGAAGAACATGACAACAATTGGCAGAAACTAATGCAGTTTTAAAAAATATGAATACTTGCTTATGAATAATAATATTATTGCTCGCCATTATTAGTTATTAATAATAATATTATATACTTATGAATTATAATCAGCATTTATTAATTAATAATACATAATTATTAAATTAATTTTGGTATACAAAAATATTACAAATTTTATTTAATATGTATTAACAACGAAAATGATTAATTATTGATTTAAGCTATAATTCACATTGTATTATTTGTATATTTTATTATTATACGTTATTCATTTACTAGCGGAAATACCCAATGCCAGTTAAGTTAGGTTGAGAGTAAGGTATTTAACAACAAAGAGAACAATACCGCTGTAATCCTTCTCTAATAACGATGCTAAAAGTACGATTCATAGTCATACATTTTTCAGTCTGATGCGGTGTGGACCCACATAAAAATTTTCGATAGAAAAATAAACTAATTCTCTCTCCTTATATCAGCAACAATGGCACGCAGTTTTTAATGATTTTCGTATTTCTAATCAAATGGACGTAAAAGCTGAAGCTCCATCCAGTATTTCACTTACATTCAATTTTAGTCGATTAAATGTGGCAAATTAATATCTAGGCTGATTAAAGTCGTACGAAGATGGGAATAGTCGAAATGGCTTCCCACAAAATTTTGGAATCGGGAATAATGTATTTAATGTTTGGCAATGTTATTTTTATTTCATCGTAAAACTTAGAAACTTTTTAATAACTAACTCTAGGATTTTGAAAGCGAGCAGTGGCAAAACTTTCGAAAATAAAGCAGATTTTCATCTCCAGCTTGCGAGACTGTTGTCACTCGGAAAATTGAGGGAGAAAATGATCGTTTTTCCAAGTTTAATATATCTGATTTCAACTACTTCTGTTTGGAAAAAAGTGGACTTTGACCTTTTTCAGGACCTAGAAAAGAATTGCAGAAAATTTGGTGACGATAGCTATAGTAGTGACTGAGTTATTAGCGAAAAAACACAGAGACTTTCTTCTTTATATATAGATATCACTGTTGTTATTATTAATCTTAACAATAAAGAATAGAAATAGATTAGAATGCATCTTTTGTTTTAGGCAGACAGCACTTTCATGCTTTCCTAACTAAATAAAAAAATAATAAAGTAATAGATATATAAAAAGTACTTTACAAATCTGTAAAAACAAACCAAACAAAGATCAATATTAAAGCACATGGATGCTCAACCTCTCAGCTATTCACGACATACCAACTGCATGGTTGCAAATAACTCTAGCACTTCCACAAATTCAACACTTGCCATCTTAAACCAAAATACCTCATGACCTTTTCGACTTTCCGACATGCTTTCTTATATTAGGTTATATGAGGTTTGATTTTATGATTTATAGATCAACTTATACGTGAGTACTTACGGTAACTAATTAGAAACTACAATAAAAACACAGTAGGTTTGGCTGAAACTAGTTAACTAGTTATACTAAACATGTAGAGTCTCATACGTTTTGGAAACTACACCAAGTCTAGACTCCTAATTAAGCGACTTATGGCTGTGTCGAGGTAAGCAAACAGAAACGTAAAAAGAACGCAAAAGAACCCTTTTATTAAAAATTAAATAAGTTGAATAACAGGTCTTCCAAATTAGTCAGCAAATATGGCGTGAGCTTAAAAAGAATAAATTTTGAATTTAAATTAAATCTGAGTAGTTGTTAGTCAAGGGCAACGCAGAAATATTTAAACGCAAAAGTTAACCTTTAACCTAGACCGGCGTGAGAGCATAATCGGCAAGAATAAAAAGCAACGCCGTAGTCAGGAACACTTATCATAGCATAACAACTAGTAACATGGCCTTCAGCAGGTAGAACACGCTTTGACTAAACTATCTCCAACCCTCACTTAAATGCACGTGAACTAAATTTGCGTTCTTAAAAAAATGGTAAGATAGACGTGACAGTAACGATTCCTTACATAAAATAACTGGTTAATTAACATTAACACTTTGTAAATAACACATGCCGCATATGTTAAGGAGTCAAAAAAATGCTGTCTCTAACATAAACATTAAATGACTATGAAACACTGTATGTCCAAATTATGAAATATCATTAGAAATAATTATAATGTATTATAAAATATATATTAAAAATATATTTAAAATATCATATCATTTAATGCAGAGAAAGTATACAAGTACGCAGAAGCTACTTTTTACCTTTAAAATAATAACCTCTCTATAACTAAAATGTTATAGAGAGATGTACCAAGGCATAAGGTACGGCACAGAGCAGTATATGGCACGTATGTGAAATAATAAAAAAATACGGGGTGTGACATATATGATTGTAACGTTATAGCATACCATTAAGAAGAGCTTTAACCCTTTCAGCCCCAATGGGTTTTATAAGTCCCAGTAGATGTTTAAAGAAGCCTAGAGGTAATTATACGCATCACTTTATTACGTAACTCATGTTCCAGTGGCAGTAGGCATCATATCTAACATCCCCACTACTAAATTGTTATATGGTAGACCATACACTACCACTACAATATGGTGCCATATCACTACAATATAGTTGACCATCATCCAGTTCCATGTTGTTGAATATAGGAGATCACTTACCCATCGAAAGGCCCACTAGAAGAAGGTTTCACAGTTGTACCAAGAAAATACAACAGAAAAGAACTAAAACAATTTGTGTGACATGCAATCTACCACTATGCAAAAACTGTGTTACTTATTATTACACATAAGTTATGAAAATAAAAATAGTTTTTTTTTGGGATATTTTTCTTTTTTGTGCCAACAATTTAGTACTGATGGAACATATATGTTCCACCGTTGCCACCCAGTGGGACATATTTGTCCCAGGCCCTTGGAATCCCCTCATTTTAAAATAAAATATTTAAAATGATATTTTTCAATTCGTTGTGATAATTACCAAGAGTACATAAAAAATCAAGTCAGTTGAAACAAACAAATAAATTGGGACTGAAAGGGTTAAGAGTTCATGTCGTGCTTAGAGCATCATACATACGACGCACAGATATACGTGCATATGGTATACATAGCGTAGAGCTTGGTGTACAGTCGTATAGCCAATGCTGAGATTTTATGATTGAGAAGATTTTCCATAGATATAGATGAAAATCGTTTAATGTTACTTTGAAAATTAGCACGGGCCTATGATAATTCTTTATAATTCGGAATGCGCATAGAGCTCAAACATTTCTCCAATTAGTTTAACAAAATTACTTCTCTTGATGGAAAGTTTTCGGCAATCATTTCCCTATTTTTGGAAATTTTAACTCATCTTAATCTATATCATAAATTCTGCGGCCATTCGATGATCTGTATCATGATTATCGAATTTCTTTTCTTGGGCCTGTTAAAGAAAAGGTGTACGCAGATAAGCCATGAACCATACAAAAGCTTAAAATTCAGTTTAGAATCATTTAAGAAGTTTAGGAAACTTCTTAAATGAAGTTTAGAAAGTTTCCTAGATGATAAATATTTGAGTAATAATGATAACCTTAACTCACACTTGATTGAGTTTTGGCTGATAAAGACCAGAAGTTCTCTGAACGCGGAATCATGAAGTTATCAGAAAGATGGAAAAAGATCATCGAGCAGAATGGAAGATATTTGACTGATTAAAGTTCTTTTTTTGTATAGAAAAAATTCAGTTTTATTTCACACTAAAAAAAAAGGAAATTACTTTCTTGCCAGCCTAGTATTTTTGATTATCTTTACTGCGACCCAGTACTTATCGTGCAATTCCTGAAAGCATTATTAAAAATACATATATCTTTAAATATTAAAAAGATATATTAAAAATACATATATCTTTAAATATATGTATTTTTAAAACAGTACGTCAGTTGCACGATTAAAAAAGTGAACATATCAAATTGTAATAAAAAGAACACGTTGAATGTTAAGAAACTAATAAGAGCAATGATTCCTCTCCAAAGTTGTTGAATTTAATAAAGGTTTTGCAAAGTTACCAATTCTCCCCAAGACTCATGTTACATCAATTTTCACTGTAAATTTATTGACTTTACGCCTGTTTCTTGTGTAAATTTATTCGCATTACTTCAATTCCTACCGCAAGTTCATTCATGTTACGCCTTTTCCTCTGCAAATTTACTTAAATCTATTCCTTACGTTATGCTGCTTTCTACTACAAATTTGCACACATTACAATCGATCCCTAACGTAAATTTACTTATGTTACATCGATTTATACTTCAGATTTATATATGTTACTTTAATTTCTGATGCAAATTTACTCACGTTACGCCGATTTCTTGTGTAAGTTTATTCGGAGTATGTCGATTCCTACCGAAAATTTATTCATGTTACGCTGATTCCTCTGCAAATTTAATCTTGTTAAATTGATTCATTACATTACGAAGAATTCTGCTGGAAATTAACACACATTTCGTCGTTTTCTGGCGCAAATTTACTTACGTTACTTCGATGTGTACTGCCAATTTACATACGTTACTTTGATTTCTGCTACAAATTTATTCAAGTTATGCCTATTCCTTGTGTAAATTTATTCCTTGTGTTAATTTATTACGTCGATTCCTACCGCAAATTTATTAATTTTACGTCTATTTATCTGCAAATTACATTGGTTACGTTGATTCCTTACGTTACTACAATTCCTACTACAAATTTACACACCTGACAAGGATTCCTAATGCAAATTTGCTTACGTTTCATCGATTCCTATTGCAAATTTATTTACGTTATGTCGATTTTTACTGCAGACTTATATACTTTACGCTGATTTCTGTTGCAAATTCCTACAAGTTACGCCAATTCCTGTTGCTTTTTATCAGTTTCTTAAACATATTCAATAAATTCGTACAATAAGATCTTTATTGAAAATGAAACTGTTACTGACCGCCACTATTACCTGTGATGTTATCACACAGTATTCTGGAGGTGATGATGCGCCCGAATGGGGAGAACTGGGCCTCCAAGTCCTGTTGAGTGAAGGCCTTGGGAAGGCCACTCACGTACAGGTTGGCACCCTTTATGGCTTCACTGCTAGGACGGGCATATGAGACCTGGGAAAAAAAGTAGATAAGCAGGATGACGATAGCATACAAACGAAAACAAAATGTCTCTACAGGTGTTTTTCCTGCAGCAGAACAAGTCCAAGAATTTCTATCTCTGGAGTATAACGACGCTTGACTGGGCGATCGGGTATAAAGACCATTTTGACTTTGTTGCAGAAAAAAATCATTTATATAGTTTTAAACATAGTAATTATCAGCTGATTCTATAGTTATTTATTTGTATATTCTCAAGGCAGTCTGTTGAGGAAGTTGTTCTGTCGTGTAGGAAGAAAATAAGTTGCAACAAAAATTTTAGACAACTAATTTTAGACCACAAAGTGTCAAACCTAGATGAAAGTGAAGAAAATATTGAATAAATATACTGAGGTAAGTTATTGGCTTTATTAGTAAGTGATACTGAAAGTTATGTACAATGTAAATTTTAATGGCAGTGATGATAGCGAGGACAGAAAAAGAAATCATCCACAGATTATGCACTTTTATGAAAAGACAATAAATGTTTAATCCTGGCCCAATTAGAAATCTTAAGCAGTGAAAATTATGCCAAATTCGTCAGATAATATTAGTGACTTTGCTAACGTATTTATAAGTGTTGGTCTATTTACTTACACATTCTGGTTTATAAAAGTTAAGTACTAGAAGGAATACTAATAATAACTTGAAAAGTATGTAGGTAAATTGGATTAAACTTGGTGATCATATTTATTGTACACTTTTAACATAAAAACACAAGTAAATGTGACGAAGAATATTTACATTTGGTGATATCAACAAGAACATAAAATCTTTTGAATTCGGATAGACAAATTAAATACAAAATATATCTCAGTAGTAAGTATGGTCATCCCGAGCTGCAATACAAGTCTGACTGCAATGTCTCATGTTGTTTATGACATTTTAGTGAGCTGCATGGATGGCAATACCTGCAGATCACGTAAAGAAGTCCTAAGCTCGTCTAGAATTTGGAGAAGGTCAGAGGACAGCAATACGCTTCTCTAGAGCGTCCCACACATACTCAGTGGGTTTAAGGTCGGGAAAGTGTGCTGGCCATTCCATTTGGATTATAATTCCTTCTTCAAAAAATTGGTTCACGAGGCGATCAGTGTAAGGGTGGCTATTATTTGCTTGCAAAATGAAAGTAACGCCAGTTGTGGCAGCATAGGTTCCACATACCGGTCTGTACTTCCACTTAAATTCAACACATTAACAGCGTTATATGTAGGATCTACATGACGCAGGACAGATTCTAGCATACGAGAGACGCTAGCATAGATAAGGCAATGTTATAATTAGTAATGGTATTTACTACAAGAGGGAAAGAATGTGATTAAATTAAAGTTTCTACTGGATTACAGTTACAGGGTTCTTGAATAGCATCGACGCCAAAACAGAGTCGAGGCCGTCAGAGCATCAAAATGGCGATGAATCAATACTTGCCTACAAGGAACATTGGTAAACCGTAACACAGATTCACAATTATAAACTGTGCATTTTGAAGAACGTAATTTAATTAATAATTTTAGAGTACCTGCATAGAATTGAAATCGATTTTTGGGCTGTCGTGCCAATTGCACACCAGACAGGCTGTCGATCCTGTGGCATATTCTATTCTGCCGAAAAATGTTACTTGGTTTTCTGTAGCTTGCAATTCTATGTTCTTAATATTTTCATATCTCTAATATGACGTGAGATAAAATGCTTTAAACACATGAAATTGCTATGAGCCAACTTGAAATTATATAAATGTTATAGTGAAAATCTTGGCGTTTAGAGCCCTAAAACCATTCTTAGCATGTCGAAAGGAAAAGTATAAAACCCTAGAACAGGTCTCACAGAAACGGCTAGCGGATAAATGGCATAACTAGTAAGAAGAATTAATGAAAAGACAAGGAGGACAATAGGTGGACAAACAAATGTTGGAATGATCAAGAGATATGCACGATTTAATTAAAATAGCAGTATAAAGATGTGCTTATCTGGTAGCACAGGTCACTGGAAGCACCAAGTTAATTCAACAGCAGTGGACTGACATAATATGAGTGAAATGGTGATAATAGTGCCTTATTAGGGATTCCAAAATTTATTCACAGTTAGGTAGAACGTTCAGAAGAAAACTGTACAAGACGCAGAGAAGCATATGCAAACTTTGCTATTTATTTAAGACTCGGGTAGCTGATGAACCTGAACTTCGATTTACAAGAATTGTTTTCCAATTACATGTAATCAGTTCAATTGTTTTCCAATTACATGTAATAAGAGCCTTATTTCTATAATTAGAAGTATCAGAACCCTACGAATGGCCATCAGGAAAGATAAATAAATACTGAATAATAAAAATAAAAATTAAGGAATAAAGCTAAATTAGTGATAAATAATTAAAACATAAAATAAAATACCCCAGCTCTTCTTATTTGATGCTTCGGCGGGAATTACGATTTTACTCAAAGTTTCAAAAGTTTAGGACCTTGGCTTCGGTAGAAATTTAAGTCCTGTATGTATTAAGAAATTGTATCTGAGAAATTTGAACTTAAAGTAATTATCACACAACGAAAATCAAGAAAAAAGACTACAACATAAAGCTGACTGAGAATTTCATGATTTTAATAAGAAACTGGGTATATATAAAAAAATATGAATGGCTTTTTCTTAGAGAAGTTAAAATATTTTTCAGTATTTCATAATTAATATGCATATGTATTTTACTTAGAAAATAGAAAGAATTGCTTAACGTTACGAGAAAATTCTGAACTAAAATGTACGACCTGTGTGAGTTGCCAATGAACTGGGAGAAAATATCATGTCAGAAAAACTATTAGCTGAAATTCAGTTAAAACTTTAGTTGTGAAAAATAAACCGTTCGGGTAAATCATAATTCGAAAAACTATTTTTGAATGAATTTGAAAAGAGGAAATGGAAAAGAAATTAACTATAAAATATACAATTTAGAAGCAATTTTATTTTAAGATGAAGTTAACAACGATTCCAAAATATTGCTATTTTATAGAACTGAGCACAATTGTACCGATGAGAAAGGGGTTGCAAAGGGAAAAAATAATAAAATAAACTGTAATGAATTCTTATATTATTGTTAAAGAAATTCTATATAAAACAGTGCTAAAAGTTTATTAATTGAAATATGAAATATTTTGCTCATGTAAAGTATCACTTAAATCAGGGTCAATAATGTTTATAAACACAATACATAGGTTTCATTCATTTAATCAAAATTTACTTATTACGTATACATTTTACATTCTAAGGAAGTATTTCCCCCAAACCTCAGTCAATAAATCCACTTACAAGCTGATATTTCTTTCTTTTGTTCTGGTGGAAATTTCGTGGAGATCATTTTAACAAATTTTAAAAAAAGTGTTCCCTTTACCCATTTAGTATAAAAATACTATGTTCCTGCAGAAATTTTACAACAGTTTCTACGGTTGGTGCAATTCCACGGGCATAGATTTTTAACATTGATTTTCAGGCAAACTATATCACGAGTAATAATAATATTTTAAATGAATAAAGATAAAAAAGATGAGTAACTGTACTAAATACTGAATGCTTAATTACATACTTTAAACATATTTCACACTAAACTATATATGATTGTATACAAAGAATAAGCACACTTCGCATACAAAGTACATAGCTATGTACGAAAGACTAAGTACACAAAAGAATATAATAGCATTGCATACTTATATACTATAATGTATAATAATATCAATAATACTTAAGATAAGAAAGCGTTATGATTCTTTCATTTAATAATAAGTAAGTACACAAATGCTATTATGTACCAAATAAATGTATTCTAAATGTACAATATTATTACATACCAAATAAATATATTCTAAAGCGTAGGTGTATGTTGGATTAAAAAAGTGAGCATACACAATTATGTAAAACTCTTATACACAAAAGTAATGTAAAGACCAATAAAATATATAAAAACTTATAATAACATTAATAATAAAACTTTGCAGAAAAGTTATGATTCTTTAATTTAATGATAAAAAATACTATTACGTATTATCAAAGTATGCAACTAAAGTAAGTATACATTATATACTATTATAAAAGTGTGAGCTCACAAAACACTATAGTAATATTCTATATGACACAAAAAATGTATAATAATATTGTTACGAATTTTATATATATGTAAATAATTTTAGTGAAATTATATGAAAAATTGTGTAATATAGCATAATATAGCATAAAATGCCGTAAGAAAGTGAAAATTTGCCGGAAAAGTAAGATTGCGGGTGCCAGTCATTTTATCATTGACTTAAATATCTTGCTAAATTGGTTAGATATGGCAAAGGTGGCAGTAATTTTGGCGGCTAATTTTGTCGCCAAATGTGGCAAGAAATCGCAAAAAGTTTGCGAACTTGGCGACCATTTAGCGATATTTTGGTCCGGTCCCTGCATAACTGTAATTGTCCTAAATGGCTATGTAACTGTAGTTGTATCCGGCTCTTATATGTATCTGTAACCGTTTACCCATTCCAGTAAATTCGAGAAATGGAAGGTACTGTAAATTTCTCAACGGCCAGAGTTCTCAGAAAGAGTAAAGAGTTGGCTTTAATTAAAGAATTGAGTGAGAGCGTACTGAGAAGTCTCCGTGCGAACTCCCCTCTTAGGATGCACTTTGCATTGCGTTGCGTTTAATGTTCGTAGTAATTCGAAGTGGCAACAACTGATTGTGTTCTATAATACTGAGAAGACCTATACGAGTACTTTTGTGGAAAGTTACAGAACTGTAAAGTGTTTCCTTTATGAAAATAAATTTGATCAAGATACTAACAGTTCTGTGTGCATCCGTTTCATTAGGAACCCGTACACACGTAACAATATCAATAAGTATTAAATATACAAAAAAATCATGATTATTTCACCCAGTGACGAGAAAGTATACAAAGAAGTACAATATTATTGTATAAAAAGTATGCTAATGCATACTAAATACCGCATAATACAAACACTACAATACATACCAAAACATGTAACTGTATGCCAAAAAATGACATAATTTATGCCTATATCACATTCATAAATGCATAATAACAATTAATAACAAACGTATACGAGGCACATAAACAAAAAAGCTGTGATTTTTTTATTCAATAGCGAATATAATACTTCTATCATGTAATTACATGTAAGCATCAAATTTATCTTTATACAGCTTTCTGAGAGTTATTTCGATACAGAGATTCAGCGGAATCAATAGCCTTTTCGAAAAGGACACAACAAACTTACTCGATCTTATGCCGCCTTTCCTAACTATATGCTTTATACCGCGTCCATTCATTTTGAACCCAGAAATAGCCTCGTTTCATAAAACAAGAGGAACATGGAATGCGTCAATTGGAGGAAAGACGAGTGTTGAGTTGTCTGCCTATTTATCATCAACTATCGCGTGCGTGTATCAGTTTCGCGTGGCTGCTACGAAAAGCATCAGCGATTAAACGTTATTGCTCGAGACAGATGTGAAATATATGAGTTGCCTTTTTTTTGGGGGGGGGAGATGAGGCAGTAGTAGCTTAACCTGAAATGACTCGACAATTCACGCCTATAGCTGAACGCAGAAAACAACACGTTTTCTAAAAAAATTACGTTTTAGAAATAACGAATACTGTAAAACTTTTTCATTTGTAAAATGTGAAATCTTTTAGTGAAAATTTAGGAAATCTAAGAAACAATTTAATAAGAATTTTGAAAGAAGCTTAAGAAGCAGTTTGAGGCACTTATAATCTAATAGTACTTTAGCATTAAATGAGAAAAATCCGTGTCCAATAATGTCCAAATGTCTCCGAAAATTGCCAAAACCAACTGCATTTAACTCTTCATATCTGAGAAGTTTTAGATCAGTCTATTTTCATTCTTCTGGTATATTATTAATCCCCTTTATTAGATATGTATTTTCATAAAGTATATCAGAATCCGTCTTAATAAAGACGTTACCTCTTCACAAGAATATATATTATTCGTAAGCATAAGACTTTTGAATTCTATAATTTATAATTTTAATAAGAAATATATATGACGAAAGGTAAAGAAAAGTATTAAAAAAATAGTTACCTTAATTGTTTTATTTTGCAGCCGCAAACCATTGAGAGTGCTAATGGCTTTTTCTGCATCTTCCGGCCGAACGTAATTTACAAATCCATAGCCCAGACTCTGACCTGCTAAAACAACCAGACAAAAAATCCATCTCTCAAATAGTTCTGGGAAAGACTGCATTAAAAATAAAATGCACAGAGATAACAAAAATTAAAGGGCATATTTAATTTCTTTAACTGAAAGACAAGATTAAATTAAAATGCATACACTTAAATTAATTGGCTTATTGAATTTGTTTACCGAAAGACAGCATTAAATTAAAATACATACAGACAACATATGTTAATTCGTATATTTAAAAAAATTCTTTTTGATCTATAGACGGGACTAAGTTAAAATGTGTATAGTTACGAAAAATTAATCGCCTTATTTAATGTGTTTAACTAAATTAAAATGCATACACATAACATAAGTTTACTGGACAAGAAGAGAAACACGTTAATGTGACAATCAAAATCGTAAAAACAACCTTGTATTTAGCGTAACATGTATTAGCTTGTAATTACGCTAAATACAAGGTTGTTTTTACGATTTTGGTTATTTAATTAATTTTAACTGAAAGACAGCATAACATTAAAATACGTATGAGCAACGTAAGTTAATTGGCTTATTTAACATTCTTTTCGATCAACAGACAGCATTATGTTAAAAGTTTAAATACCTGTATATACCATAAAGTTAATTGATGTTTTTAACTGAAAGATAGCATTGAATTGAAATGCATAGAGATAACATAATTTATGGCTTGTTTAATTTTTAATTGAAACACGGCATCAAATGAAAATCAATGCAGGTCACATAACTTAATTGTCTTATTTAATTTGTTTGAAAAAAGGTAGTAATTTGTATACATACGATAAACATAAATGGCTTATTTAACTGTTTTAACCGAGAGACAGTATTCAATTAAAATGCATCTGAATTACATAGGCTAATTAGATTATTAGTATGTTTTTAGAGAAAGCATTAAATAAAGTGTACACAGATAAAAAGTTAATTGGCTAATTTAATTTTTTATAAATAAAATTTATATAACACAAGTTTATCTTCTTATTTATTTTGAAACAAAGCATTCAATTAAAAACAAGTTAATTATCTTATTTAACTTATTTTCAGAAAGAAAACACTAAATTAGAATGTATACATAATTAGTTAATTTATTTAATTTCTTTTAACGGAAAGACAGCATTAAATTAAAGTGCATACAGAGAACATAAGTTAGTCAAGAATAGCCGGATCCTTCGGTCATTTAGCGGTCTAATCCTCAAAAGTGTTGCCTAGAATACAAAACAAAACGTTACAAATATTACGCCCACAAGGAGAGGATAAATAGCAACAAACATTCGTCCCTTTTGGATTCAAACGCAGTACCAACGCTACAGTAGCTGTCTCCACTAACTATCATACTGAGCAAGGTGACATATTTTACAAATGTTTTAATTTAACAAGATTAAGTGTTCAGTAGGTTATGTTTTATTTTATCCACATGGATCTGATTCTTCAGCCAAAAGTTAGTATAAAAAAGCAAAGATTTCAGCAAAACCGGAATAACGGATATTGATTAGATGAGCAAAATTAATCCAAGTATTTTAAACAAGAATTGTTTAGCAACATCAATGCGAGTAGAAATTTCTTTAATTTTAAGGAAAAAAGTCTAGCAGAATAAAATCTAGTATTCAAGAAACCTTGACCAAGAAAAATCTTTAGTGCTAATACATACGTAGCCTAACCAACATCTTGGACAAAGGGAAACTAGTAAAACGGATTCAGTTAGGTCATGCAGAACAGAAAATTAGTTGATTTCCGAAAATCTAACCACTAATCGTTAAAACCGGATCAAACCAGTCCGGGATCTTAGAAACCGCGCTAACTGAAAGGCTCCCAGTACCCACTTGGGGAAAGACAAGATTATGAGGAAATACTATAAGACGTTTTTGAGGATCCGTGAAAGCTGAGATACTTAGTCTAGGCGGTATTCAGGTCTTGCCTTTATTTCTTCTCATTGGCGATCATCGTTTAACTCATTAATCGGCATGAAATGTATCCCCGAAATCGGATTGAGGAGTGAGGTCCTACCTGTGACTTTATCTCTGATTAGTTTGCAGGATTCGACATCACCGATGGAGGAGAAGAGAGACCTGATCTCTTCCTGTGTCATAGTCTGTGGTAGGTAGTTGACGATCAGATTCGTCTTCGAGTCCTCACAGCCGCCGTTCTGCTGGCCCCCGCCGCCGCCCTCCATTCCGTTCATGAGGCCGGCTGCAAGAAAAGAGAATACAACCTTGTTAGATACGGTTACCATATTTTGAAAGAGACAATGCAAGACATTTTGTCACAAAATATTGTTACGAATTTTGAATATATGTAAATAATTTTAGTAAAATTATATGCAAATTGTGGTATTTCTTGTATAATACAGAGCATGCAAGACCTCAACAGCTAGAAGCATAGCCGGTAAAAGGGTACAGAGGCAGATCCATTTAAAACTGAGGTAAATGGATATCTCACCAATTTAGTGAGATCGAGTCAAGTTGGTGATTAATTTGGGGATTTTTATGGCCAAATGTGGCAATAAATCGCAAATTTGGCTACATTTGGGTCCTGTACCTATGTGACTGTAACTCGTCTGACTCCTATGTGATTGTAACTTAATCCGGCTCAATGTAGCTGTAACTATGCATACCTTCCAGCCATTTCGAGAAACCGAAAATACTGGAAATTTCTAGATGAACAAGGAAAAATCTATACAAGTTCCAAGATAGAATTAGTTTTTAGTTCAGAATTTGGCTCAGAGTATTGAGATATCACTGTGCGAGCTTACGCACTTGACTTACGCACTTGAAAGCTCACGCACTTGAATGCTTACGCACTTGAATACATACGTAGCCTAACCATACACTTGAGGCATTTTTATATTGTTTAGTGTTTAACGCTCCTATAAGTTTAAAGAGGTAATTACTAAATATGCTTTTTCCTACAGAAAAGAGCTTTAAGAGTACTTTTGCGGAAAGTTGCAGAACTGTAAAGTGTTTCGTTTGGGAAAATAAATTTTATCAAGCTATTATCAGTTCTGCGTGCATTCATTTCATTACGAACCCGTACACAGGCAACGATATTTTCAATTTTAGAAGTCACTTGTAGTTTTATAATCTTGCTCCCTGCGTGACAAATAAATTTGGTGAGAAAAAAAAAAGGAAACTGTAACGTAAGGAACTACATCATAAGAACAGTAGTAATTTTTTAACGGATAAAAATGCAAAATTCGTTGTTCAGTTCAAATATAAATTACATATGAAAAGGTGCCGCAAAATAAATAAGTTATTTTATTATTCTTTATATTTACATATTTTAGTCCCCTTTAAAGTGCATTAGTATCGATACGCTTTTCTCAGGTTTTTCGCTCACCTCCAGAAATATGGAATCAGTCCTGGAGCTCTTGACATCGAATATTATTCAAGGCACGTATTGTATTTTCATGCACCTCATTTCCAATACTGAATTGCATATTATCCACTAGATTGGTTTTGGGAAGTTTGCTTTCAGAAAAAAAGTGCACAAGCATCATGTGTACTTGTTACCCTTCCCTTTGAAATCAGACGAATGGCCTTTTGATAATCTTCATTTAGCTCATTTACAAAATTTTCCTTATTTCTGCTTGTCAGTGTTGACCAAGTTTTAGCGGTCTTCATTTGATATGTTGCGATATTTTTAAATCTGTAAGAACACTCGTACATTTATGATCTAAGCAAAGTATTATTTTTAAATATTTTCCAAAGCATGAGAACGGTTTTAGTTGCTGTTTGTCTCATTAAAAACAAAATTCAGGCACACTTTATTCTCTGTAGTCGCACATCATAAAAGCTGTAAGATGCTATTAAGCAGTACCCACAAATCGTCACCAAGGGCAAACAGTTGTTGTTGCCCTGTCCATATTACATGGAACAATAGTTGTCAGAGCCTGTACCGAAGAGAGTTTAGACTTCTATTTTCCACCCTTAGTTTTGAGGAAGAGCACCCCGGCGAATGATCCGGAGGTCTGCCACCCCTCTCCACGCCCACCAATCCACACGAGAGGATTCGAAACCGGGCTCTTCGGTACCGTGTAGTAGGCTTCCCTAACCACTATACCATGTAGGAGACGGGCAAACAGTTTTCTCAGATTAATGCCGCTTCAAAGGAGACCACTTCAAATAGGAGATAAAAATTCCAGTGGAAAAAGACCTAGCTGCACGATTCGAAATGTTTATTTACGGTGCTGTAATTTTGCTTATTTTTATGCACCCCTACGTGTGCTATTGTACTTTTTTCAAATATACAATAAAGTGCTTAAAGATATGATTAATAATTTCATCTTAAAACACATTACGACTGTTTTCACTAAAGATATTTCTTAAGTAAACAGAAGGAGCAGAAAAGTAAATTAAACCGAAGCATCACCACGTAAACCATGATCCGCATCTTTTCAGTTAAAGATTAAAATTCGATTTATCTATTAAAAAATTCAAATAAGTAATCGTAAATTACATAGTTTTTCTGAATCAAGTTTAAGGAGAGTAATTATATATAGTTGAAAATAAAGCTCATAAAAGAGAGATATTTTCCAAAAAGCATCACAACTAAAAATGGTTTTACGATTAATAGGTCTTATGGATGTACTTAAGATCATATGATTCATATACTTACAACACGGTAGTAAATTTATCGCTCGGAAATCTTTCAGTTAAGTAATTAAAAGTTTCGATACATTCAAATTTCGCAGTCGAAAATTTACCTTGACATTTCGGGGGAGGGGGGTACACCAAAAACGTATCGTTAAATAAAAATTATATTATGCACTTCCTAATTAAATTTTGTATTTACAAACCAACCAGATTCTAGAAACGCACTCGACACCATCACTTAGGTGAAACTTACCATTTAATTTGATGGCATTTTTACACATTATATTGTACTTACAAAGCTTTCCTTCATTAAGTAACACATTAAAAGAAAATCTAATAGAAACACCACATGACTTCTTTGTACGGTCTGTAATTTAATTATACACATTTTTGCTGCACTTCATTTAAACTTATTTCTTCCAATTATTCTAGCTTAATTAATCGACCCCTTAAGGCAAATTCAAAATAACAAATATCTCAGCCACTTTTTGTCATCAAATCAAACTTCTTTTAATTTTATTTTTTCACAACGAGTATAAAAATTTTCTGAATATAAGTATAGAAAATGGCAAACCGTATTAAAAGTTAGATTTCGCTATTTGTCAAAAATAATTGTTCTAAAAAATTTGACGTAGCTGAAACATGAGTATTTTCTTCATTGAAAACATTTCTGTAAGTGGAAGTAAATGACAGCTACGAACGATTACGAAAATAAAGGTCGGGTAAGGACTTTCAAGTTGGGAGGGGCTGTATGATATATATATAATAAAAAAATAAAGAATATAAAATATTAAATTAGCAATTTCCCTTCTCAATTCTAAAAATAGTAGCCTCTTTCTGCACTACATCATTTCTAGATTAATCCATTTCATATGACTCCCTCATAATTCTGGTGATGTAAATATAACTAAAACTCAAGCAGCCAAAAGTAATTTTATAGCAGTTTTAACTATCCAATCAAAATGCATTGGGAACCAAAACTAACTCACTCTGAATTAAGATATTACCCTGAACATACGCACTTGCTTTCTACGCTTTGGCCTGGCTGGACTGCTGTCTGTCTGCTTCTGTTATCTTACTGCAAATTTATCTAAAATGTAAGCTTTTTGGAATAGGCACATTTAATGTGCTAAATTTTTTGTGGCCGGATCATGTTTGCTGAAATAAAAAATGAAGATTTAATTTGGCTTCGCCTCCAGTTTCCTATTCATAATGGATCAACACTTCTACGCCATTAAATTCTGATCGTCATTACTTCTTAGTTTATTTTTATTATATATATATATATATATATATCCCAATAAAAAAGCAGGTGCATAGCTAGATGTCATAGCAAACGTATACAAAAATTTCAAAGTTCTATGGATAATCGTTTTTGAATTATGCGAGATACATACATACGTACGTACACATAGATGCCACTGAAAAAATACTCAAAAGGAATTCGAAAACGGTCAAAATGGATATTTCTGTTGAAATATGATAATCGAAAATCTTTCAAAATTACAATACTTCCTTTACTTCAAAGAAGTAAAAGGATTGTTCAACATCGAAATTGTTTATTGGCATGGGAGGGGCAATGAAGGGTTACTTATGTAACTTCGGGAAACTACATTTTCTGTCTGTCCTGCAGACATGATGTTAAGGAAGCCGGCTGCTATGGTCTTGGGCTCGGATTCGAAGCTCTGAAAAGACATAGATGTTTGTAAATGTACAATGCCTTTGAGGCACAAGAGTGGAGAGAAAACTAATTCATTCATGAGATAAGTATCAGGAAAAATTCCCGAAGCTCTTAAGAAATTCAAACTGAGGCAAGAAAAATTTTTCAATAGCAACCCAAATTTTGGTTTTCGGAAAAGTACTCTTACTATTCTCCAATCAATTTTGATTTCTTAGAAACTTCAGAAATTTTCATGCCTTGCAATTCATAATTGATTAAGATCTCACTCAATCCCTACCGCAGGAGTGAAAAACATCTGTTTCGATTTTCACCTGTGTTCTTTCGATTAAGCTGTCTAATTTTAACGTCAAGCACTGCAACTTCTAATGCATGGTTGGCATGATAAATGCCAACCATATTTTTGTTAATTTGTGCTAATTACTGAATTGAACTTTTTCATTTATTTATTTATATTAAATCATTTTTTATTTATATTAAATCATAAAAAGTCATTATTCTCAAATAACTGGATAATTTCTATGAAATATTGATCATCCGCTTTTGGAATTTATTGAAAGAGTCAAGGAAAGGTAAAAGGGAAATCAAAATTAGAATTTTTACATATATATATATTTTTTTGTAGAGCTAGAATTGTTTTTCCATGATTAGAATTGTTTTCGTGCAGTAACTGCTGACTACTCATTCTTAATTTCTTTTTCCGTTTTTAACAAATCATGATCATGGTAGAGAAATGTTGATTTCTATTTCATTCTTAATTTAAACGTTCAGAAATTTGGATTATCAACAAAACAAAGCATTAATTAATAACACAAACTCTTAGAAATATAATATACATTTTAAGATTAGTTGCTTTTTAATAGCATTGAAAAGTATGATTTACAGTCAATTTTCTCGTCATATGCTGTATGGATAGAAAT